GGGTCCCCCCCCCCCCCCCAAAATATCAAGATACAATCTTTTGACTTCACGTTAATACACTTATGCTACAAAAGGTAGTGCTCCAACTAAGAAAGCTGGAGCTACTGTACTATCTTCTTAGCCCCGTATAGGCAGGAAGGAGCAGGGAGAGTTGGTAATGCAGTTTATGTAGTACACAAATACAATTAGGAAGGCCAAAACCAATTGAATAGCTAGCCAAAGACTCAAAAAGTAATAATTTTATTTATGTATATCAGAAGCAGGAAGCTGGCTAAACAACCAGCGGGCCACTGGACAATCAATTCAGGCACCAGCTGCGCCCCTCCCCCACAGCAGACCAGGGAGACTGAGCAGCTTTTCTTGCCACAGAGGACACGGGCGGCGGGACCACGGCGCATCTCGACAGTTCTGCCGCCCGCGTCCTCCGCAGCAAGAAAAGCCGCTCTGCGTCTCCCTGCTCTGCTGGGGGGAAGCACCCCCTGCGCCGCCGGAGGCAGCGACAGTGGGGGAGGCACCCCGCCCCACCAGCTTTGGGTCCATTGGCCCCGCAGACGCCCCTGGGCAGCTCCAACACCCCCCGCTGTCGGCTGGAAGGAGGGTCTTGAGAATAAAGCTTGAGAATAAAGGACTGAGGGAAGTGAGGTGTGGGAGAATAAAACTGAGCTCTGGAGAAATGTTTGGCTAGAGTTCCCCTACAATATGTACCAGTTCTGACTTACATACAAATTCAACTTAAGAACAAACCTACAGTCCCTATTTTGTACGTAACCTGGGGACTGCCTGTATATAAAATGTTGTTGCGTGGTTATTTACAAAATCTATGTGGCAGTGTATAATTTGTGTTTTTGTGTATCTTGTAGGATATAGAAAATGAGCTAATGGTTCAAGTTAGTATGAAACATGAGATAGAACTTGCAATGAAGTTGTTGGAGAAAGATATTCATGAGAAACAAGACACCCTCATAGGCCTTCGACAACAGCTAGATGAAGTTAAAGCAATTAACATAGAAATGTACCAGAAGTTGCAGGTAAAAGAGAATATTCTTAAATTGTTGAAGCCTCTTTAAAATATAAATATAAGATGTGTGTAAATAGTGCATGCTACCTTTCTCATGACATTTGATACAGTTTTGCAATAGAAGAGTATTTGCTTTAGAAAAGTGATATTCTTTCATCAATATATTAAACTCCTGTTTTCCTAGCTTTGCTCATTGTCACTGCTTTTTTAGCTCAGCGCTCTGCTTGTACGCTCTTCTTGTATGCTCTTCTTTTCTGAGAATAAGAGCTTCATGCCACCTGTATAAGTTAATTTAGGGGATGGGCAAATACCGGCCCATGGGCCGGGCTGGGTCTGATCTGCCATAGTTAGCTCCTGGTGGGCCCTCTGCTGCTATGTTTACCTGCATGGGTGCAGGTACAAGTGATAAGTGCTCCCGGGGGCTGCAGATTGCTGTTCATGGCCAATGGGAGCTGCAGGAAGGAGTGTCCCAGTCTGCACTGCTCTCTGCTGCTTGCGTTGGCCAGGAACAGTGATCTGCCGCCAATGGGAGCTGTGATCGCTGGTACCTGCAGCCGTGCAGGTAAATTTAGCAGCAGTGGCCCAACAGGGGCTTACCCTGACAAACTGCCACTGTGTTACTCTCCACCCCCTGAGTGAATGGAATTCACATGAAGCAGGTTTGATGTCAGTCATTTTAAAGTATCACTATGATACATAGAGGATTAAAGCACAAGTGGCCATCATGATACTGTACGTAGGGAGAATGATATCAGACCTGGAATTTTGTGCTCCATTTGGGGTCGTTAGAAAAAACAGTGGAGAAATTGTAACAAAACAAAGGAAGATAGTGAAGAGGTCAAATGGGCTTTGAGAGTGATAAGTGTGAAGCTCAATTAGGATAATTGGATCCATATTTTCTATTATTTATCTATATATTTTAGAAATGTGCATCTGTTTGAGAGTCTGTTTGTTCAAGGACTCCTACTAAATCAGGTCTGGGAAAAATACAGCTCGTGGGCTGGATCCAGCCTGCCAAGTGGATCTGACCCACAGAGGCAGCAGGAAGTCCCAGGAGGCTCTCCTGCTTGCCCTGCAGCCCCTCACGCTGCTCAGAAACGTGGCTGCTGGGCCCCATTTTGTTTCAAAACTGGAGGGAAGGGAGGGAAAGCTTCAGGAGGTGCCCTCCGCCCTTATCACAATCCCATTGGATGTTTTCTGGCCAGAAACCGGCCAATGGGAGCTGCCTATTTGAATAACTGGCAGCCAAGAAGAATCATGACCCCTCTCCTCTGCTCAGTTATTCATACAAGCACAGGGCTAGGGAGGCCTGCTGGCTAGCTGGGAAACATTTTAAGTTCTGCAAGCCTTAGCTGTGCAGGGAGGCAGGCTGGTTTGGCTGCTGGCTGGTAAGTCTCCTGGCAAGAGCATGCCTCTGGCACCCCAGCCTCTCCCTGCCCCAACCCTCATCCCCCCAATCAACATACCCAAACCCTCTGTTCCCCTCTTGCACCCATGCCCCTTCCCAGATCTGACCCCCCAATTTCCTGCCCCAGATCACAGTTCCGTCCTACCCTAGGTCACACCTCAAGCCCCTGCACTCCAGTCCGCTGCCCTAGGTCACAACCACATCTTTCACCCAAACTCCCTCCCAGACTCTATTCTTCCTCCTGTCCCCCATTTGCTTTCCCCAAGCTCCCTTCTGCACCCAGCCTCCATCCCAGACCCTGCATCTCCTCCATTAATATCATGGAAGAGTACAGTCCTTGACCACTTTACAAAATCTTGGAGTAGCCCCCGTCAAAAATTATTGCCCATCCCTGTCCTAAATGGTAAAAGCAGGACCACCAAATTTGGTATGCAGCTTTCTCTTACCCTATCTTAAAGCAAGGTCAGGATTTGGTTGTGCCAGGAAAACCAGAAGTGCAGGGAATGGGACTGTTTTCCATAACATGCAAAAGGAAGGGCTGTTTGGAGGAACATGATACTGAGAGTGGCTGCTGGGGGCAGCCATCCCACCCGTGGAGTGGCCAGCAGGGCTGGAGCTCTGCCATATTGCCTCCCCCAGACTGAGTAAGTGGGGTCCCCCCACCCCAGGAGAGGTTAGGGGGCAGGAGAGAGCCCTCACCAGTTCTCCCAGGCTGAGGTGGGAGAGGGAAAAAGCCTCCTGATGGTTCCCAGGACAAGCTGGTGGGTGGGGTGCGCAGTCCCTGCTGTCCTGAACCCCTCTTCACTCCCCAACCCCCACTCTTGTGCTCCCCCACATCCCCAGTGCCCTGTCCTGAACCCCTCCTTAACTCTTCACCCTGACTCCTGCACCCCCCATGCCACTGGCCTCCTGCCCTGAGCCCCCCACATCTCCAAGGCCCTGACCTGACTCCTGCACCCCTCACACAGCCAGCCTCCTGCCTTGAATAACCCAAGCAACACCGGGTAAGTCTTCTGGTAATAAGAAAAGAGAATAGTAAGCAGGTATTTAACATTGTTTGCAATGTCACAGAAATTCTGCTGTGGATTACAAACTCCAGATTTCAGAGTTCACAAACAGCAGCTAAGAAATGACCAAATGCCAAGGAAATTCAAGAGAAAGTTCTTTGTGGTAATTTTCATGTATGGAGCAGTTTGTCACAGGCAGCAATAGAAGTCAGTCATGACCACTTGAGAAAGTACATAGAGAAATGACATTACATGAAGCAAAGAATAGACAAGTACATGTGTGGACCAAGATGTTGCGGTGCACCTCTAAATGCTGTGTGTGGAAAGCAGAACAGAAGTAATGAAAGGGTTCTGATTTGCCTTTAATAAAATAAACTGAGGCAGTATAGAAAAAAAGTTTTTCAGTATTATTTTTGGTGTTTATGCAGAATATCAGAGATCTGTAGTTTTTCTGTTTTCAATATGTGTTTTGAAACTTTGATGTTCTGATAGTAACTGGATTTAATGACAATTCTGTACCTATATTTAGATCTTTAAGGAGGAATGTTCAGCGCTTTCAGAGGCTGGTTAAAATAATGTTAGAATAATATAGGAGAACTCAACTATACCAAAATGCAGGACTATGTAGCACTTTAAAGACTAACAAGATGGTTTATTAGATTATGAGCTTTCGTGGGCCAGACCCACTTCCTCAGATCAAATAGTGGAAGAAAATAGTCACAACCATATATACCAAAGGATACAATTAAAAAAAATGAACACATATGAAAAGGACAAATCACATTTCAGAACAGGAGGGGGATGCAGGGAGAGGGGGGAAGGAAGGAAGATGGTAAGTGTCTGTGAATTGATGATATTAGAGGTGGGGAGAGTGGGATGTTTGTGAGCTAATGGTATTAGAGGTGATAATTGGGGAAGCTATCTTGGTAATGGGTAAGATAGCACAAGCGTTTGTTCATTCCTTTTTGGTGTAGCAGAATGCAGGTGGCTAAGTCATTTAGAGAGTGTCCTTTCTGGTTAAAGTGGCAAGAAACTGTTTTCTCTTTGTGATCTTGTCTGATATCTGTTTTGTGGGCATTAATCCTTTGGCGAAGTGTCTGAGATGTTTGTCCAATGTACATAGCAGACGGACACTTTCGGCACATGATAGCATAGATTATATTTCTGGATGCGCAGGAATATGTGTTCTTGATCTTATAACTTACTTGGTTAGGTCCAATAATGGTATCAGCAGAATGAATATGTGGACAAAGCTGGCAACGGGGTTTGTTGCAAGGGAAGGTACCAGGGTTGGTATTAGTGTGGTATGTCCTGTGGTGGTTGGTAAGAATCATCTTGAGGTTAGGTGGTTGTCTATAGGAGACTATGGGTCTGTCTCCCAGAGCCTCTTGGAGTATGGTATCCTGTTCCAGTATAGGGTGTAGTTTATTGATAGTGTGTTGGACAGGTTTAAGTTGGGGGTTGTAGGTGATGACAAGTGGTGTTCTATTGTTGGTTTTCTTGGGTCTGTCTTGAAGTAGATGGTTTCTAGGTATTCGTCTGGCTCTTTCAATTTGCTTTTTTATTTCTCCGGGTGGGTAGTTGAGGTTTATAAATGCTTGGTAGAGATCCTGAAGTTTCTGGTCTCTGTCAGTGGGATTAGAGCAGATGCGGTTGTATCGAAGGGCTTGGCTATAGATGATGGATCGTGTGGTGTGTTCTGGATGGGAGCTGGAAGCATGTAGGTAACTGTATGAGTCGGTGGGTTTTCTGTAGAGAGTGGTGTCTAATTTTCCATTGTTGATTTGTACTGTGGTGTCCAGGAAGTGGATCTCTCGTGTAGAATGGTCCAGGCTGAGGTTGATGGTGGGGGTGTAGGTTGTTGAAATCTCTGTGGAATATCTCCAGTGTTTCTTGGCCATGCGTCCAGATCATAAAGATGTCATCGATGTACCGTAGGTAGAGAAGGGGTGAAAGGGGACGGGAGTTGAGGAAACGTTGTTCTAGGTCAGCCATAAAGATGTTAGCATACTGTGGGGCCATGCATGTACCCATGGCTGTGCTGCTGATCTGGAGGTATAAGTTGTTCTCAAACTAGAAATAATTGTGGGTGAGAACAAAGTTATATAGGTCTGCTATCAGGTTGGCAGTAGTGTCCTCTGGGATAGTGTTTGATCTGAGGAAGTGGGTCTGGCCCACGAAAGCTCATCATCTAATAAACCATCTTGTTAGTCTTTAAAGTGCTGCATTGTCCTGCATTTTGCTTCAGCTACCCCAGACTAACATGGCTACATTTCTATCACTCAACTATACCAGTAATTTTAGCTGGTGTTCCAAAAGAGACCTAAAGTCTGTATCAGTGCTTTGCCTCTTGCAGAATTGGCTCCGTGAAGATCTCAGTGTGAACTAAAACTAACGCTGATAGGTATTTTTGCATTGGATGTAATGAGCTATTTAAAATTATTAGCATTTAATGTTATTAGACCCCACCCCAAAATAGTAAAAGAAATAAACTGAAAAAAAATATTAAATAGATTATACATTAGTAAAATGTATAATTTCTGTAGAGAGTGGTGTCTAATTTTCCATTGTTGATTTGTATATTCCAATAAATGCAAGTATACTTTAGAATGAAATTTGATATATAGATATTTTTCTTTATTATTACTTTATTTTTTATATGGGAATTAAAAAAAAACAAATAAGCAAACAAATCCCAAATCCACATTATAAATATTTTCCTGAAGAGACCGAAGAAAAGCATCAAAAGTAAAAAAAACTTTAAAAACAACAAAGAGTCTGGTAGCACTTTAAAGACTAACAAAATATGTAGATGGTAACATGAGTTTTCGTGGGCACAGCCCACTTCTTCAGATCACCGGAGTGTTGGATATCCAGAACCACAATAAATAAGGGAGGAAGGGTTAGGGTTAGGGGAAGAAGAAAAAATGGGGGGAGGGGGACAGAAAGAGGCAGCGAGTAGATAAGTATCAAAGAGAAAGCCGAGTATGTATGTAACTGGAAAAAAAACAACAGATTATTTATTAGCACCTAAAAACTAGATAGTTAAGAGACAGATAAGAACCATTAGTTAGCAATTAGAAAGGAAGAGAACTAAAATCAGATTCTATATAGTCATAAAGAACCTTTGGCACCTTCATTGGTTGGTTGGTTAATAATGTCCCAGCTATCCAGTATCTCTATTTAAACCATTAGCATGAGAATTAAACTTGTGAATGAATTGTAGTTCCAATCCTTTTCTGTGTATTTGGCTTGTGGAATTGGTCATGATACCATCTACATATTTTGTTAGTCTTTAAAGTGCTACCAGACTATTTGTTGTTTTTAAAGTTTTTCCTGTGACAGACTAACTTGGCTGTCCCTCTAACGCATCAAAAGTATAGTTTAATATAAAACCTATTTCAGTATTATTCTATTTAAAATAGGTTTCTGACGATGCCATGAAAGAAAAGAATGAAATAATTGGTCGACTAGAGGATAAAACCAATCAGATTACAGCAACTATGAAACAATTGGAACAAAGGTACAGCATCAGTCTCTTTTTAAACTTTCTTTTCCACATTCATTTCTCCTCCTTTACTACATTCCCAAACGGCTTCCACTGAAATTTAACTCTCAGTAGGAAGTTTTAAAGAAGCACAGTCTTCTGGAATTGCAACCTGTGTTTTACCATTGATTTTCAAATAAGTAAATTTAACTGTAAGAGTGAAAAAATACAACCATAATCCAAACCTTTCTGTCTTGATTCTCTTTCACCATTCACTGGTGCTGTGGCATTCTCTGCTTGCCCCCAAGGTTGTTTTTTGAGCGACTGGGCTCAAAATTCTGATCCATTGTTATCCCTGTGCTATATTTTAAAGCTATTCAATAAGGCTTCACCCCATCAAAGCACATGGTTACATTTAAGCAAGATTACTCATGTGCTTAAAGTTAAGCCTGTTCTAAGTGCTGTTGTGGATCATGATTCACAGGCCAAGATTCCAAAGCTTTAATCGCTTTGGAAATGCTGTTAGTGTAAAGGATGTACACATGGGTGTATAACACCACGAATTAGTAAAATGAAATGATTTAATTCCAGTGTGTAAGTTTATATTGTGGTTACTATAGATTTATTACATAATATCAAAATGTGACTTGTGTACTTCAGTTATTTAAATGTAATAAACTATATGCATCGTTAATATTTTTAATTGTAAAATGTAACATATCCATAGCCCTGCCATGTTGGTGTTAACATGTCTTACCATTATTTTCTTTTAAAGCTACTTATGAAAAACATAATTATGTATTAAAAGATTTAGTGACATGAATATTCTTTTATTGACATCCTTTTTCCTCTTTTTTCTTTCTTTTTTTCCTTTATCCCAATTTTTACATTTTGAACTTTACTACCTTTATTTGTCTTTGATTTTGTCCATTACATACGTGAAGTGACAAAGATCTACTAACTCAAACAAGGACTATTGCAATGTCATTTGTGAAATGTGCCAGCAGTGAAGCACAGCACCAATACAAACTTGTCAAAGACATATCATTCTGAAAGCTATTTGGCAATTGGAGTAAAATTTGTATGAATTGGTTTAAAAATATGGTTATGATTTAAATCTTGGATTATAATTGGTCAGTAAGCACTAGTGATTTTGACACAATGTCATAGCTTGGGTCTACCGTGTTTCCCGAAATAACATCATCTCTACCCCTTTCTCAACTCTCCCCCCAAAGAATTTAAAAAAAAAATCACTGTCATATTACTGACCAAGCAGAAATTAGAATTTTCGAATGCTGTTTTAATAATTTTATTTTTTAAATGTTAAATACAAAGTTTATTTAAAAATGTTAGCTGCCTTTATATTTTTGATTTCTCGTTGCCATGCCCCTTTCAGTTTAAGGTTTTCCCTCACTCCATATTTATAGAACTTAAATATAATAGAGATGTTAAAACAGTTAACCATTAAGTATTCTCCTAAGCAGGAGGCTTACTGTTATGTTTAAATGGTTAATCAATTAACTGGCCCCTGCCCGTGACCTCTGGCACCAGCCAGCCACACCAAACTAGGGCAGTCCCAGATGCTCAGGGCCTGGTGGGGTTGGAGGAGAGACCCCACAGCCATAGCAGGACTGGAAGTGGGACCCCATGGCCACAGCAGGTCCGGGTAGTGGGCCCAGCAGTGAGCCCAGAGTTAAAATAGTTAAATGAATAACCGTTTTAACATCCATAATAAATAACCCTTTTTCAATTAATAAAACCCCACACTTTTATTGCTGTTGCAATTTCAGGGCTTCTCTACACCAGAAAACATGCTATCAATTCTTGTAAAGTGTTTGCTAGTAATATTGTTTTCTTCAGTAAGGTAGACAGCAGCATTTTTCCTGAGGACTGGCTAAAACAACTTTTAAAAATGTGCCACAGTTTCTGCTGTACTTTACAAAAACAAAACCCAAATTATTCCTGTAATTGTAGGATTCTCTTATGCATAGCTAAAATACAGTTCAGTCTGCTAGCATTGAGAGAATGAATGTGAAATGTTTTAACAGAGCTACTGTATCATGGGCACAATCCAGATATGACTAGAACTAAAGGCTATAAAGCATGAAAGCCTTATCTTTGTAAAAATCTTCGTAGCTCTAATTTCCACCAATAGAGTTCCATCTGGGTATCAATGGTCGAAAGTGTAGCATAGGCAAGACTCAGACATTTAGGGGTAGAACCTCTCAGATGGTATGTAAATTGCCAACTAAGGATCTACTCTTCAGTGACTGAGTTACTACGTTGGTGGAGCATCACTGGATTTCAGCTGTAAAGTTTGCTAGCTGCTAGTGTGTATACAGATTCTGTAGATCAGCGATGGGCAACCAAGGCACCTGAATGGGTCTCATGAGTGGCCCTCCTTCATCTTAATAGGCTTCAAGATTGTCATAACCAAGACAGGCTCCCCAAATAGGGTGGTTTTGCTTACTGCACTTGGGTACCTAGAATTTGCAGGGTGTGCTGATTGAACCGTAGCAGCACTTTGATTGGATGTAAAAGGAGTACCCGGCTTCCACACTCTGGTGGGTGCAGTCAGCATAGACCTGTGTCCATGTGCCCTTGTTCTACATGCATGTTACTTGAGTAAAACTGGTAGGGAAAAACTACACAGATGGAAACCACCCAACCCTATGTGTGGTCAACAGTAAACAAAATGTCTCCTGGGCCACACAGGGATGGGCCGAGGTTGCCCACCACTACTATACATGCTAGTATGGTTCTGAGAAGAAAAATCCTTGTTCATATTGGTTTTGGAAATTATGCTAATGCAGTTTCAGCTGTAGTTTAGAGTAGGGATGTCAACATGTAGACAAATACATGATTAACTGATAAGCGTGGGCTTATTGGTTAATTTTGTCAAACCGTCGCAGATAGGAGCTGCTGCCATCCTGCACTGTTCCTCTGTATCAGAGGCAGCAGCACAGGGTGATAGGCAGCCAGTCTGCCCGGTTTTTAAATTGGCTCCCTTGGCAGACCAGCTCCCACCTGGCACCCGCACTGCTACTTGTGATAGAGAGGCAGCAGTGCAGGCTAGCAGGGGTACTCCCCGGGAGTGGGGCCGGGAGCACACTGGATGCTGGCCCTGCCCCTGGGGACTATCGAATAGTTGTGTAATTATTAAGATTTTATGCAGTTACACAACTATTCAGTTATACAATATCTAACATCCCGTGTTTAGAGAGGGTCTTACTAATGTTTTTAATTTCATTTAGCCTTTCATTCTTCTCAGCCCTCTGGAATATCAGCAAGAATTAGCCTTGTTCTGCACTAGTATTCTCCCATCTCCTCTCAATCTACTTTGACCCTATTTGCATTATAATTACAAACATATCAAGGAACTTAATTACAACAAATTGTAGTATAGGGTGCACCCTAATGTTTTCATACATAGGCTAAATTCAGATGCTTCAAAATAAAGGATTCAAGTCTAGACTGTTGTCATTTCTGCTCTGGCTGTCCCACCTGTGCAGGTTTACCATTGGTAGGTAGCATGAATAAGATGTAGACTCAAGCTTTTATTAACATGTAATCTAATTCTGCTAAAATATGTAGTAATGCTAGTGCACTGTCTCTCTGAACCCACTGACTGGTTATCTGGTAGCATTGCAATAGTAGGCAATTTCCCAAATATGGCCAATGTAGATGCATCCTGCATTATAAAACATTAGTAGCCAAGAAACATGATTGTGGTTGTTGTGTAGACAGAGCCAGAGAAAAGCTTTCATTTAATTTTACATTTAACAATGATAAACTGGGAATTGTGTAACAATGATAAACTGGGAATTCAGTTGACTGACAAGTGATGGTTCAAGCCAAGCTCTTGCTCCTCTGTTTTCTCTCAACAGCGTTTTGAGGGTGTGTGTATGCTAGAATGCTAGAGCAGCACAACTATGGTGCTGCAGCAGTGCCGTAGTGCAGACACTTGCTATAGCAACAGAAGTTAATCCAGCTCTTCAAGAGGCAATTTTCTTCTGTTGACCTATTGGTGTCTACATTGGGACATAAATTGTCTTAACAATGTCTTTCGGGAGTGTGATTTCTTTTTCACATCTCTGAAGTGCAATGTAACTAGGGTCAGTTTAAGTTTTAGGTGTTGACCAGGTAGAGAGAGACTAAAGAGGCAATTGTAAAATGAGACGCCTAAACTGGGATGAGGTTCTAATTGACATTTCACTGGCTACTCTAATTCAGCTTCCCTTGTATATCCCAACAAGACAGTTGAATACGGAGTAACATACAGTTTTTTTTATTTAATGTTGACATTTAAATTTAAACCCCATCTTTTTTGGGCTGAAGAGTGGGTCAGGGAGAAATCTTGATGCATTGGTGAGGGGTAAGTGAGAGGGGAGGTCTATCCAAAACAGGAATGCAAAACCCCTTGAAAGTCAAAGAGAAAGAGCTTAAATGAAGCCTGACTTCTGTTATTTATTCAGTGTTGTTTGTTTTGTTAATCATATGGAGCTATTTTAACCATGATTTTTAATACACATTATTTAAATTCGTTCAATAATGTTATTTACCAGTAGTTATTCTGTAAGTGTAGTAAAATGCTCCAGTGTGTGTTCTGCTGTCTTACTACAGCTGTGTTGTTGCTATCTGATTCCAGTGTTCTGTATTCAGGCTCATGTCTGAATTACATTGAGCGATTCCAGCACAACATACACTGTGTTATTAATCCATTAGTATAGAAAAAGTAGTTCCTGTACTTCTACAGTTCTTGTAAAAATGCTTCCCACAATGCTTCCCAGAGTAACACATGTATAACACTCAGAGCGGTAAACAATATCGATCAATTATAAAATCTGTATGGTTATGCTTTGATGGCATCTGTTAATGGTGAACATAAAATAAAAACAAATATGAAGACTTAATCTTTTCTTGCATAGCGAAAACCAGAGGTTAGGTTTCTAGGCATTGTGTGGCTTTCTCGTTTGAGTTTGTGAGTTTCCCCAATCTTTGTTTTTATTTAGAAATGTTTCTATTTCCCCATTTTTCTTTTATTTGTCTTCTTCACCCTTTACACCCTAGTTCTAGCTTCAGTTTTACCCAAAGTTGATTTGAATTACACCAGATTGCAGCATTCAGAGAAGTCTCAAAGGGAAGCTGAGAATGAAGAGAAGAAATTCAAACAAGAATATATGAATAAATCTGAAAACCTGCAGAAAGAAGTCTCCCAAAAGGAGAAGCAGCTGTAAGTATATTTCTCTTTTGGAAAAAGTTCCAGGCACTTAAAATCTTTTTTCCTTTAAACATTCTGTTAACTAAAAAATGTAGGACACATTACATAATACAGGTAGCTGATGATTTTTAATTGGATACAGATGCTGTTTAGGAAAAGGTATATTAGGCAAGGGCAAGAAGAAATAAAATCTGTCATTAAAAGTAGTTCAGCTATACATGAATATTTTTAAATAGCTGTCCAGCCTTAAGAGAGGGAAGAACATAACATTTTTTGGCTGAAGACACAGTCTTAAGTTATTAAGGCAACAGTTGTTAACAGGAACAAAAATTCTAAATTTATAATAAACTAGATTAATCCACACTTTATTATTGTAAATCCTGTAGACATAATATCATACACTTAAACAGAAACTGCATAGAGCAATTAAACTTTTTGGAGTTAAAAAGAAGCCCAAATCCTTCCAAGTGTTGGTAGCTGAATGGCACTCATGAAATCCTTGAGTCTGCTAGAAACAAAAATATTAAATCAAGAAATAAAAACCAAATTCTCCTTTTACACTTGTGCAGTGCCCCATGGATAGGTATTTGGCCCACAGAGTCAGTATAGCCACAAACACTGATGAAACAGCCAGAAGTAACACGTAGGCCTTGTCTACAATGCGAGAGAAGGTTGATTTTTCTAGTACCTGATTTTGCAAAGTTGAAGGTGCATGTCCCCACTTTGCACAACAGTGCGACATGGGTGTGTCCCCAGCAGGGTGGCTATGTGGACTTTGACAGCAGTGCACTGCGGGTAGCTATCTTACGGTTCCTGCCACGTCTTTGGATTCTAGGTTATGCTTCCAGTGCCTGATGGGACCAAAACAGTAGTGTTTCTGGGTACACTTCATCAATATCCCATAAAGCATTCATGTCCTCCCTCCATCCTCCTTGAAAGCAACAGCAAACAATCTTTTCATGCCCTTTTTCCCCTGGTTATCTGTGCAGATGCCATAGCAAGGTAAGCATGGGAGCGAGCATGGAACCCTTTCAGCAGAAAGTACAATGGCAGTCATATTAGCCATCTTGTAGCTTATGCTCCAGTATGTCCAGAGTGTGTCCAAGACTCACCAGAATGAGGAATAGTCTGAGGAGACCATGAACATACTCTTCCACCAAGCACTTGAGATAAGCGATTGGCAGATGCTAGCACCATTCGGTCTTCTTGACACAGTGGAATGCTGGTTCTGGTGCTATGAGACAAGCACAGACTAGTGGGATTGCAAGCTATGGTATGATCATTGGTGGCTGCAGAATTTTTGCATGCTTAAGACCGCTTTCATAGATGTTTGTGAATCCCTTGCCCTGAAGCACAGTAAGACCAGAATGAAATCTAGTCTGTTAGTTGAGAACTGAGTGACAATAGCCCTGTGGAAGCTTGCAATGCCAGACAGCTACCAATCAGCTGGGAATCAATTTTGAGTGGGGAAATCTACAGTGGAGGCTACTGTGATCCAACTAGACAAGGCGATCAATACCCTTTTGCTATGGCAGGTAGTGACTTTGGGAAACATGCCAGTTATAGTGGATAGCTTTGCCATGAAGGGGTTTGGGGTGATAGATGGAACACATCTCTCTGTCTTGGCACCTGCCTCACTTGCCAAAGTGTACATAAACCAAGAGGGATACTCCTTGGTGTTGCAGGTGCTGGTAGATAATATAAGCTGTGTCACCATCATCAATAGGGGATGGCTGGGAAAGGTGCATGATGCATACATCTTTAGAAAATCCGGTCTTTTCAGAAAGCTGCAAGATGGAACTTTCTTCCCAGACAGGAAAATTAACATTGGATGTGTTGAAATGCCAATAGTGATCCTTGGAGACCCAGCCTACCCCTTTCTTCTGTGATTCATGAAGCTGTACCCAGGCAGCCTGAACCGCAGTAAGAAGCAGTTCAACTACAGGCTGAGCAAGTGCAGAATGGGGGTAGAATGTGCTTTTGGATGTTTAAAGGGAAGGCTTCAGACTATTGACTAAGTTAGACCTCAGTGAAAGCAACATTCACATTGTTGTGGCTGCCTGCTGTGTGCTCCATAACATCTGTGAAATTGATGGGGGGAGTTTTATGGCAGGGAGGATGGCTGAGGCACAATGCCTAGCCACTAATTTTAAGCAGCCACACACCGAGGAAATAAGTAGAGTGCATTGAGAGATGCTTTGAAAAACAGCTTTGTGAAGGGCCAGACAGCGATAAGACAGTCCTGTGTGTTGCTCTTAATGGGATATCCTCTGTATTAATAGTGCTTGCCCTTTGAGAGATGTCCCTCTGGGTGTGCCACTTAGGTCAAGGTATGTCCCAGCACCTTTGGTTGGAGATTTTCTCAGTAGTAAATCCCCTCCCCCAGGCTGTGCGTGTATTCTTCCTGATGAGTTGTCAGTGTATAATTAGCACGCACACAATCTGGGCTCCTAATTTCCTTCTCTACCATCCCCGTCCAGAGATGAAATGCAGGAGTCTCACACTACCTCAGCAACATATTTCCTTAGCTTATACATTGTTACTTAGCTATTTAGTTTCAATTAACAGATTTTCTTCTTCCTGTTTAAAAAAAAAAAAATTCATTTCAATATGTCAGGCTCTCCTGGTTTCAAGAGGTGTTCCTCTTATAAAGATGCCAACCCTGTGTCTGATGGCCACTCTCAGTGTGTCCGCATTTGGGGGAGTCTCATGTTCCTCCAAAATGCACTTACTGTCAGAAATTAAAAGCACAGACTCCGAAGGACAGGGAGCTGCATCTGAAGCTGTTGCTGCTCCAGGACACCCTCTCACCTTCATCAGACTCCGGACTACACTCTTCAGAGCCATAACAAAAAAACTCAGACCAGGAAAAGACCTGCTTCCCATGCTTTCCCAGGCAGAGTGAAGAAGCACAGACTTTAAATTTCTTCAATGCCAGCTGCTCTGAGGCTGAGCACTTTTGATTCTGCAGGCACCTCCCATACCAGCTGTGAGTTGGCAGCTGCTTCGCAAGGTGCCGCGGCAAAGGGCTTTTAGCTGCCTGCCTCTCAGAATGCACCCACGGTCTCTTCAGTGGCCCCGGTGCCAAGCTCAAGCTCACAGCAGCCTATTCAGACAGCAGTAGCGGCAGTTCCCTGCAGCCTTTGTTGCCAACGCTCCCTGCCTCTTCAGCACTGCAGCAACAAACAACTCTCACACAGAACCAACACTCTCGTTAGCTTCCATGGTTCTGATGCCCCCTCACCTCAGCATGGCACCGCAATCCCACTCCACACCAGAATCATAGAATCATATAACCATAGAACTGGAAGAGACCTCAGAAGGTCATCAAGTCCAGCCCCCTGCTCTAGGAAGGACCAATCCCAACTAAATCAACCCAGCCAGGGCTTTGTCAAGCCGAGACTTAAACACCTCTAGGGATGGAGACTCCATTACTTCCCTAGGTAACTCATTCCAGTGCTTTACCACCCTCCTAGTGAAATAGTTTTTCCTAATATCCAACCTGGCCCTCTCCCACCACAACTTGAGACCATTGCTCCTTGTTCTGCCATCTGTCACTACTGAGAACAGCCTTTCTCCATCCTCTTTGGAACCTCCCTTCAGGAAGTTGAAGGCTGCTATCAAATCCCCCCTCACTCTTCGCTTCTGCAGACTAAACAGACCCAAGTCTCTCAGCCTCTCCTCATAAGTCATATGCTCCAGCCCCCTAATCATTTTGGTTGCTCTCCGCTGGACCCTCTCCAATGTATCCACATCCTTTTTGTAGTGGGGGGCCCAGAACTGGACACAATACTCCAGATGCGGCCTCACCAAAGCCGAATAAAGGGGAATGATGACATCTCTGGATCTGCTGGCAATGCTCCTCTTAATGCAACCTAATATGCCATTAGCCTTCTTGGCTACAAGGGCACACTGTTGACTCATATCCAGCTTCTCATCCACTGTAACCCCCAGGTCCTTTTCTGCAGAACTACTACTTAACCGGTTGGTCCCCAGCTTGTAACTATGCTTGGGATTCTTCCGTCCCAAGCGCAGGACTCTGCACTTGTCCTTGTTGAACCTCATCAGATTTCTTGTGGCCCAATCCTCCAATTTGTCTAAGTCACTCTGGACCCTATCTCTGCCCTTAAGCGTATCTACCTCTCCCCCTAGCTTAGTGTCATCCGTAAACTTGCTGAGGGTGCAATCCATCCCCTCATCCAGGTCATTAATAAAGACATTGAACAAAACTGGTCCTAGAACCAAACCTTGGGGCACTCCGCTAGAAACCGACCGCCATCCTGACATCGAGCCGCTGGGCCTGGCCTTCTAGCCATCTTTCTATCCATCTTACCGTCCATTTATCCAATCTACATTCCCTTAACTTGCTGGCAAGAATATGGTGGGAGACCGTATCAAAAGCTTTGCTAAAGTCAAAGTATATAACATCCACTGACTTTCCCATGTCCACCGAGCCAGTTACCTCATCGTAGAAGCTGACCAGAACATGTTTTGCTCAGCACCAGTTTTTCAGTCCATCTGATATACATGGTCTGTCCTGGATGGGGATTTTTCACCAGAGCCACAAGCACAATACTGCCATTCCCCCGTGACTCCTCCCCACCCTTACGTCAGGAAGGAAGATAACTTGGAGAACAAAGATCTCTCTCCACTCTACTACCCACCTGAGTATGGGAACCCATGCAAGCAAAATACACCTGCCACACAATGCCTGTGGTATGCCCACCTCTGGATGGCACCACCTATACCATTCCCTGACCACTGGCCATACTGGAAACACCACAGAGCATGACATACTAACCAACCTGCTCCACAGAGGCAAGTTCACAAATCTCCCCCCACCAACTCCTCAAGAGGAAATGGACTCTAATACTGAACCTATACAGGACATAAAAACAGAAATTTTAGGGGACAAATCACCTATAGACAGACATGGGGGCAGCCTCTTCACTCCAACAAGCCAAACTGCCCATCACATCTACATTTACAGATGAACTCTCCCACTTTCAGGA